TTAACATGAAGAGAAAACTGACAACCTTGTGCCATTTCTGTACCAGGTTTGCAGATCAGTTTGGTGCCCGAGCAGCCTTAATTCTTTCCTGTGCATCTGGGAGCATCTTCTTCCTGCTTATGTCCCTCTCCACCAGCATCCCCCTCCTCTTCCTCTCCAGGCTGCCAGCAGTGTTCATGCATGGGATGCCAGGTAAGGTCAGTCAGGGATGAGCAGCTTTCCAAACTGCTTTTGCTCCATGATTCCCCCTTTCTTGCTTGTTCTAGTGGAAGTCAGCAGGTTCAACAGCATGAAGGAAGGCAGGAGGAACATGTAATGGTCCTCAGGGATGAAATGATGGGAACATGAAGCAGCAGGTGCACTGCCTGTGGAAAGCAGTTTATTAGTCTGAGTTCCAGGCCCATCTTCCTGTATAATCTTGAGGAAATTGTTTTGCCTGGATCATCCAGACATGGGTGCAAGTCACTTGCTGGCAGCAATGCTATCCCAGATTTTTCAGCTGCCTTCTTGCAACCAGGATGTTTTACACGAAAGCTTTTCCCTTTCTCCTGGTAAAATGAGCATGCTGGTCAAAATTAATATTATTACAAAAATACCTTCCGTTACCCACCAAGATGTTTGGTTTTGGCTGATGTTTTCCTATGTTTTTTCATGCAAAAGACTTAAACTTGAGCTGCTAGAAGTCTGTGTAACTCATGCAAGAGGAATCAAGTCGATAATGCTTCCTGTTACTTGTGAAGTGGTTTATTTGAGTGGTTTGAATGGTTCTGTTTCTCATGACTGGTGGGGCCTTGTGTTCAAACCTGATGGACGGTGGGGCTCCCAGAGGAGAGTGACAGTGCTTATTTGGAGGCCTTTTTCCATGCAAAGTATGAAAATTAAAAGCTGGGGAAATTGCCTCTAACCAGAAACCACCCCAGAAAAGTTTTAATTGGAGAAAAAATAAACAAAACCAAAAACACCACCAAAAAAAAACCCACAAAAAATCCCCAAAAACAAAACCAAAAACCTCCAAAACCAACCAAACAAAAACCCACAAAAAAATCCCTCAAAACAAAACAAAAAAAAACCCCAAAACAAAAAACCCACAAAAACTTCCCAAAAACAAAACCAAAAAACCCAAAAAACAAAAAAAACACAAAAAAAATCCCCAAAAATAAAACCAAAAAACCCAAAAAACAAAAAAAAAAACACAAAAAAATCCCCAAAAATAAAACCAAAAAACCCAAAAA